AGGTGTCAAGCTGTTTCCTTCGACCTGCATGCGGCCGTGCCGTCTCCATTACTTGCGCCATGGATTTGCACACGGGGTTTGCGGGCTTTACATGCGACTCGGTGAGATTGCGCCACATTTGTATTAGCAATTTAGGCTAATACCGAGTGCAGGCCATTTTCTGGGGATGCTGTGGTATTGCTGCGTCGCATGCTCATATGCCCTGACCACAACCCAACAACCGAGGCGTCCTGCGGTGCCTGTATGGGACAGGGCACAGTGCCCTATTCTAGCAGCAACACATTCAATACGCTGCTCTACAATGAATGCATCTTGCCAATCAAGCCAGGTGTGGTGTATATGATAGAATAAGGAAAATCTGGTTGAGAAAACTCCGACATGTTGAATCGGTTGCAAGAGACCAGTGTGATGAGCCCCTTAGAAAACGAGCCCTTGGAACACTCGGAAGTCAGGTCCACCTGGACTGCGGAGAGGTAAGATCTGGGGGACTCCACTTCGTCCCTGCGCAAGAGCGTGCCAGAGGTCAGGATGCCTGGAAAGCGGAGAGGAGCCGTCGCCAGCCATCCGACGCCAAAACGACTTCCGGTGATCCGTGGAATATTTCACACAACCTCCGGGGAACTACTGATACATGTCTTCATATTCCCGAGGTTCACCGCCCTTGATTTCTTCTACATGGCTAGGCGACCTGAGTGAGTCAATGTTGTTCGCTGCTTATACATATCACTGCCGCGACAGGATGCCTTGAGCTGATTCATCACCCGAACAGTTCCCGGTGAAGCATCCGACATAGCCAAATATCGTCGCAAGTGCTCTTTGCCATGATAGCATCCGGCTTGTGCAAGCACATATTCATGCCTTACAGTTCTAACTACTGCCTCGAAAAATTGGACAATTTCAACGACGTCGCAATAAGACAGACCAGGGCAGAAAAGTGGCGTTCCTTGTCACTCGGTGCCGGCTTGGTACAAACTTGGCGCATGTCGCTTGCACGGCAGGCTTGGGTGGACATGGGCAGGCACGCGCAGTTATAAATAACGGCCATGAGTGCACATGGAGCCAGTCGAACAGTATTGAGCAGCGCAATGGAGCAAACACTCAAAAATAGTGATGGGTGCGATGGTGTTGAGGCGAATTTGGGGTTGGCGACACGTGCTACGTAATGGGGGCGTCGATCGGGGTCGGGGGGGCGGGGAAGCCCCCAACAAGCTACCCGGAGTTCAGTTCAGCGCTGTCGGCCTGAAGCTTGGAAGCTTCATACTAGGCAACCGTCAGTGAAGCAACCATCAGTGAAGCAACCATCAGTGAAGGCAGCGCTCCCTACTACCTCCACAGCACTGTCTGCCACCCAGCACGAGAGTATTATCCAACTTCATCATGGCAGGAAAGGCAGGACACGAGGACATGGCGAGCCTCTCATACTTTGACCACTCGTCGGCCAAGCGCGTCAACACCGATGTTGTGCTCATCGAAGCTATCCGCTCCCAGTACCCCCAACTCGACCTCATCGTCGCGCCCCAAGGCAAGCTCAACCTGCTCGCGTACGCTTCGGCCGGCTTTGCAACCGTCACCCCCCTCGATGACGTCGTCAAAGACCCCGTATACGGCCCTGGTGTCAAGCAACGCAGCTATGTCCCACCCTCGAGGAGACTCGACCCATACCCGGGTCGCATGATCGAGCGCGTCATCTTTGGCAAATATCTGTACAAATGGAAGGACCAGGAGGCCATAGTGTACCTCGCTGAAGGGCGCGACGGCTTGGGAGCATACCCAGCTCCTGTCATGTACTACATCCTGTCCAACGCGGAGCACAAGGTGGACGAGCTGATCAAGGACGCGACCACGTGGGGCTCTGAACTACGCAATGAGGTATGGGTCTTTGATGGGGGTTACTGGGAGAAGAGCGCCGAGCTGTACAACTCTGTGCAGAAAAGCAGTTGGGACAATGTCATCTTAGACGAGGATATGAAGAAGGCGCTGATCGCCGACGTCGAAAACTTCTTTGATGGTCGCCAGACCTACCAGGATCTCAAGGTACCGTGGAAGCGTGGCGTCATCTACTACGGTCCGCCAGGCAACGGTAAGACTATCAGCATCAAGGCCATGATGCACAGTCTTTATCAACGCGGAAAAGATGGCGACTCTAGGATGGCTGTGCCTACCCTCTATGTCCGCTCGCTGAGCTCTTTTGCTGGTCCCGAATACTCTTTGCAAGCCATCTTTGCCAAAGCCCGCCAGGAAGCTCCCTGCTACCTTGTTTTCGAGGACCTTGACTCGATTGTCAAAGACAGTGTCCGGTCCTACTTCCTCAACGAAGTAGACGGTCTCAAGTCTAACGACGGCATCCTTATGGTTGGCTCTACCAACCACCTCGACAGATTAGACCCAGGCATCTCGAAAAGGCCGAGCCGCTTCGACCGCAAGTACTACTTCTCAAACCCCGACTACGATCAGCGTGTTCAATATGCCAAGTTCTGGCAAAACAAACTCAAAGATAACAAGAATCTTGAGTTCCCTGACGAGCTGTGTGACAAGATTGCAGAGATAACACCAAAGTTTTCTTTCGCTTACATGCAAGAGGCTTTTGTTGCCGCACTTCTGGCAATCGCCGCTCGTGGAGGTAAGAGTGTTGCTGAAGCAGACTGTGAAGCAGAAAGGTGGTCGGGTCCTCAAGATCCAATGAAACTAGGTGATGGTACTCTTCACGCCAACTTTGGCCGGAGAGCGCATGTTGGTGACTCAATTGACATGGCATCTGGATCTGACTCAAAACTGGACAAGCTAGAGTTGTGGGTTGAGATCAAAAAGCAAGTCAAGATTCTCAAGGACGAGATGCAAGAGGACAGAGGCGAGAGCAGCTTGGAATTACCCAGTCGGCCAAGAAACTCGTACCCACAGCCACCGCAGTCGACCAAGTTTAGAGACGAGCTTGACGCTATACTGCATGGCGGGCAAGACAGGCGCCCCCGTCATCCATTGCCCGAGTTTGAGCATTTTTCCAGTCACGCACGCTTTGAGTAACGATTTGATGATTGAAACATTTGTGCTTTGTATAATTCGCACCATTCTGAGAGACGCAACAACGTAGATACCGAGAATATGATAGTTTGAAAGTAGTGCCATCCTCATATGGCGAACCTAGTCACCGTGCAAAGCCTCCTCTTCCATAGCCAAAACTGCATGCTCCAATTCGCGAATCCGCTGTCCCACCCTCCTCTTCACCTCATCCGCAACCGCCTGATCCTCGCCTTCCAAAACGCACTTGTAAAACTCCAGTAGCCGATCTAGCTCTTCCCGTGCCGCAGCCCGATCATCAGGCGCATACGTAGTATTCTTCTCGCTTTCCTCGGATGCAATCTCAAACTCGTCCCTCGCCGTCCCATACAGCTCCTGGATCTCCTCGATCGCTGCCTCAACCGCCTGCTGCGACTCTGGCGACAGCGACGATGGGGCTTCCGCCGTCGATGCAGCAAACTTAGCACGTGTGGTAGACGTAAACGTACGGACTGAAGAAACCGTATTATACGACGAGCTGAACCGCGTCCACTGGCCCGGCGCCGCAAGTATCGACGTGTTGCGCGCCTGGTACGGTGGGGGCGGCGACGGCGAGCGCGACCGTTGCTGCGTATATGTCTGCACTGAGAATTGCTGCGACACAGGGTACGACGACGACGTGCGCTGTGCTGCTATGGCGCTTGCTCGCAGCGTCGTCTGACGTAGTAGCGTGCGGATGGGCGCTGCGCCCGATGCCATTTTTGGCGGCGCCTGTCTATGGTATGAGGCGCGAAACTGGGCGGGGATGGACCGCTGCGCTACGCTCCGCAGCGCGGGCGTCCGTGAAAACAAAAGTTGCGACATGGCCAGTGGTGTGGGTGTGGGTGTGGGTGGAGTGGGTAAGATTGGGCGTGGTAGGCCTGAGGTTGCTCGGAGTTAACGTCGTCACTCGGCCGTGATGGTGATGTGTGATGGCACGCCTTGTTGTCTATGCATGCGGCTTTTGATTTTCCATTTTGGCAATAAAAACTGTATCTTTCTAATACACTCTTCTTATACTGGAATATCCTAGGCCGTGCTGTTGTCTCAAGTTAGTACCTTTTTAGTAGCAACCGCCTACGCTTGTGGGACGCAACAGTCTGGTAAACTGTTGTGGTTAATCTGCGCCCCACCAGGCATGCCGTTATCATTTCTCCAGATCCACTAGATACTCTCAAGTCTCATCTGTCATCTTTTTGTCAAGCTTATCGCATCTAAGATACAATAGATAAATTCTCATCATTTGTCATCAAAGAACATTGGCGAGCGTAGTCTAGTGGTTATGATGTCTGCTTTACATCTTCTAGGATATAAAGCGCAGAAGGTCGGGAGTTCCCAAGATGGTGGTACAAAGTTTAGTGACACTACAAAGCAAGTGCATATGAATCTATTCCAATACTATCGTTTATAAAGCGCAGTTGATGATATACACCAGATATATCTAGTGATCCTGAAATATCCTATTCAATCAAATCCATCAAATAAATCCGGGTGGCTCTACTGCAGCACGTGACCCCCTGATGAGGCATAGCGACTTGTCATGCACGAACCTTAGTCCAGCCACTTACAGCTTCGCCAGATTGTCATTGTACGACTACTGTTTTGACCATCAGTCTTTTCTGTCATCTTAGTTTCGGAGCTAAGCTTTAGTATACTATCAGCTTCAGTTCATTCAAGCTGGGCCCCTGAACTCCATGAAGTCAATTCTTCCTCACTCTGCTGTTCGTGCATAAATGATGCAGCACACCTATCAAAATTGATTACCGCGGGTAGGTGCATCAAGCCAAGACACTCTGAGTTGTTTGCGAAGAGAACAAGATTGCTTCCAAGAAGTATATGACTTGTCCTTGTATATGCACTTTGCGCATCTCAACTTACAATTTTCGACGTATAACGCCCCTTATCTTACGCTCAGCATTCTAAGCAACTACACTCTGCCTTGTAGGACCATCGCGCCTCGCCAAAGAATGGAAAGCCTAGAACTCTTTGAATTGATTCAGAACGAAGAAGATAATAGTAAGATACTAGAAGAACTCAGACAGCATATCAAAAACGGAAAGGAACTGCCATGGGTAAGCAGTCAATGTTTTATACTTATAATGCTAACAACTAATGCAAGATACATAGTTTCAGGACATAATTCCAGGACTGATCCCGGGCATCGAAGATGGAAAAACATGGCTAAACCACGCACGAAAGTTACTGTGGTCATCAGCCGAATACAGTGAACACAAGGTGAAACTCATTCGCATGCAGAAGCTGCTGCAACCAAGTCCCATACCACTCTCCCCAGATCGATATCGTCTTCAACAACATTGGCCAATATATATCGAGGCCTTGCGGCCAATGTCGGATAGAATGTTTGCAGCGGCGAACAAAGTCTACGAGGTGGTAGCTAAGCAAGATTGCTTGACTAGTGAGTAGTAATGCATGCGCCTTTTTTTTGCAACATCAAGATAGTAGCTCATTTTGACCAATCTTTTCTAGAAGATCGAAATATAGCAACAACCACATCCGAAATCGATGATAGGCACTACGCTTTCGTGACCGTTGCAGTAGCATTGCAGGATAAGATTCTAAGCCCTATCATCAGCGACATCAAGCGGCGACAGAGAAGCCTCGACGAAGAAATACAGCACGCGGAAGACCAAAAACGTGATCAACTTGAGCGAGACGAACATACCGAGACTGGGGACGATGGACAAGCTCCTGTTGAAGCAGGTGGACAAGCTGTGCAACAACGACTAGACTTTCTCGCCGAAGAGAAACATGGAAACCAAGAACTGCTGAAGGCGCTTGAAAGGTTTCGCGGTAAGTTCTATCCATGAAATTCAACTACATTTTACTTAGATGTACCTACTGCAGATACACTTGTTGACGAAAAGGATACAAAGGACCAGCGCAAGGATTTGAAGAGGAGTTCAGTTGTTGAGTATTCAGATTCAGATGAAGTTATGTCAAGGAAGAGCGCAAAACGTAGATTACCGTTACGATAGTAGATGCATCTAGTGATTCGCTTTTTATAAGTGTACATTTTACACACCATAGCTATGTCTGGAACAACTTCGATAGGTTCATAATGTTTCAGTGTCACGATATGTACACATTATCTAGAGTTTAGCCACCCTCAACTTTGTGTAGCCTTCCTAAATAACCGCTTCTTTGCTCTATTTCTCCAGCATGGCTGGAATGGTTTCTGGTCCATCAACCTTTTCTTGTATTTTGCGCCAGAATGATGTTGCGTACTTCTCACTAGCTTTCCTCTCCCGATGGATAGCTGTGAGGGCTTTGAGCATCAAAGCGTGCCATGGCTCGTACGAGCATGAGCCCAGATAGTATTCACGCAGTGTGTTGTAGAGATTTTCGCTCGTTAGGCATTGCCCTCTGCGCGCGCAAACTTTACGCCCTTCAACGAAAAGCTCCCCGTTGTTCGACTGTCCATCGCTGCCAGGACAGTGTGCGGCCCAGGTGATCTTTCCAGAGTCAACCGCTGGGCTTCCGTCACAGATAAAGGAAACCGTTTCCCTTCTAATATATGGAATTCGCATCGCTCTTGAACTATAAGAATTATGTTAGTAATTAACAGGATAGAGAGTATGGCTTCATACGTATGATGGACCGTACTTTCCCATATAGTACACCATTTTGCACGGAATCCTGGGCTCATGGACATCCAATATTCCTGTTCTTTGGAGGACCACGCTCTAAATGCCATGAACAGATCGCCTTCGCCTGAAGAGAGAGGTATGTGACTCTAACAAAACTTGACTATCGCATTTCTTAGCACGAGAGTTATATGAATGAATACAGGAAAAACTCACAAGATAGATTGGAACGCGCCACATAAGTGTTAAGTGAGACTGCAATAAGCGCGATAGCCGGTATTACCCTGATGATAGTGGTCCCGGTGTAAGTTCGCTCGCGTAGTGCTTCATGCCCATCAAAGAGCGACAGGGGAGATTCCACATCTCGAAGCCTTTCAACCAAGTCGTTCCACTGTATACCACCGCTTGCTGTGAACATATCCACTAGAGTTTTCTCTGCAACAAGGCGTGGTTTATCCTCATGTAAGAGAAGGCTCTCCCTTTCAGGATCGATACTTGCATGCCAATCAAACCAGTCCTGGTATGTTGCAGGCTGATTTGAGCTTTTCGTTGCCTGTTTTTTCCTAGTCGATATAGATCTACTCATTGAAGCGAGTGAAGAACAGCTTTGCGGCGGGGAAGGCTGGCCTCAAGAAAGAACCAAACGGAAATCAGAGCACTGACGAGTAGCTAAAGAAGAGCTTCCTGTATCTTGCACTTAGAAATGAACGCGCTACTATATGCACCCGTGTTTGGTGAGTCTTGCATGTACTAGCCGAAATTGTAAAAGTACGCAGCATCCAAGCCGATGCTCTAATGCAGATGCGTTTAAGCTGCCTGTATGTCATCGTGTGCAAAAGTGATTGCAACAGCAAAACGACAACCTGCATTATGCTGATTCTAGTACCGCATCTATAGCTCTCTTACGAGATTTTGCAAAAATAAAAAATTGTTGACCAAGCAGGGGATCGAACCCTGGGCCTTCACTGTGTAAAAGTGACGTGATAACCACTACACCACTCGGCCAGCTGGAATGATGACATTGTGTCTAATAATTATATCTATAACCTATTTTTTAATGCCATATTCTTGGATTCAGATGTATAAACTATCAACGCATCATCAATACACTCTTCCTGTTGTTGTTTTGAAAACAAGACTTTCGCCGTGTTAGCGAGCAATTCTAGCCTGCAGATGTCTAGCGCTCGGGCGGTCGGATCCGTAAAGAAAAACAGTCTATTAGTGTAGGAAACCGCTGCATTAATCCAGTACATATTCACACAGTGCGTACGTTCGTGTCGTTTCTATATCATTATCGTGATGAATCCAGAATTGAAGTCTAGCTTTCAAAAGCATCATTGTAATCACTTAAGAATTCGTGCAGCAGATCCAAGGAGGCATTGGGTTCATGTCAATGTTCGTTAGCGTAATGGGCCTTCTAGTAAGTAACAGGTTTCGAAAGACCTAGCTGATCATACGAAGACGTGACCGAGACGCCCTCACTAGAGTCAGGAAACAAGAGTAGCTTGATGTTTTCAAAGCGTATCCTTTTTGCTACGAAGGTCTGCGCTAATCACCTCTTTAAATACTACCTCTTTCAATCATTCTATTGTTCATGATCGCCCTAGTGCTCTCCTTTTTCAGCCTGATTTTCCGCCCTTGAAGATATAAATATGCCCTTTTGTGCCTCTTGTTGTAAACGCAGACGTGCATTATATCCTTTGGTTCTGGGGACTCTGGATACATTCGTGTACCCATCGTCGTCATGAGCCAAGTCACAATCCCTGTGGCAATTTGATTCGTCGCCGGGCTCGCTTCTATTCTTGCAAGCTTCTCGTACGCACTTGTTGCCCTTAGTCTTACATCTCTTACAAGAATCAGCTCGATTGTCGCACAGCTTTCCATTGGCAAAACACTGGTTGCAGGGCACATGACGCCTAAACAAATCAAAATTACGTAGCATATCCACAAGGTCTAGAGTATTTACGATACCATGAAACGTGCAGGCGTGTTTGGTAGCGAAACAACTGATACATGTAGGAGTTGTTTTGCGGCTGTACGCAATCTCCGGGATATAGAAGCGACAGCTCTTTTCATCTTCGCAATAATCGCATCGCAGGACATACTTTGTTTCGAATCCGAACTGCGCCATGATATCCGCCAAGGGCATACCGTAATTGTCGTCGCCGATCATGGCTTTGTGTGAGAACTCCTTTGCTCTGCTCTCCGTACAATCTCTCTCTTTGACAATGTATTTCTTCTTCTCATTGTATATGGATTCAAAATGATCAGTAGCCATCGGCTGTGTGTTCGGTGGAAGGGTTGTAAGTATCCAGCACATCATACTATCTTGGTCAGCGACTATGTAAAACAAACAGTACTATGTGAATTTATAGCATTCAGCGAAATCACTTACATATGAGTTGCAGAAGAGCCAGTGTTTTGCATTCTAGGGCTACCTTGGTTCCACTGGCGTTGAAGGAGTCCATTTAGCCCATGGATTAGGGTAACATAGTGTGAATCTTGATCACACAAAAGATCATCGAAACGCTCGTATACTGAGCCGTTAGAAAAATCATAGACGTTGCAGAGTGGCTCCGCGTCTCGGTTTAGAAAGGGTAGTTGCATGAGAGAGCTTCTAGGTTGGCCCGCTCCCTGGCCTTCCCCGAGTGTTTGAATGACTAGCCTCCAATTCCTAGTTCTTGTCTCATCGTCGTATACTTTACACCCTTTATACTTGACTGACCAGCTTGTGTCTTTAGAAGGTAGGAGGATAAGTTTATCGATAATAGGCTGTCCATCTATAGATGAGGAGCTGATCGTAGCAGCAACGTAGATGAAGGGCTGGCTCATGCATAGTGGTATCTCAATAGTTCGAACGCGTGTTGGTTCAAATATCTGCGAAGGCGGAACTCGGGGCGGCCAGTTGTGCGCGATGAATCTTAGCACTAGTGCGCTGAGAGATCTAGATCGTATACCTCCTACAAGAGACATAGGTAGCGTTCTATTCGCTTTATATCTAGCCGTATCACGCTCCGTCCAATCGTGCCGAATTATCACTGCGTCTCCGCAAGCATTGCCTTCTAGAATAATGCAAGTATGTTTTCCTAGCTTATAACATTGGTCGTTGATGGTATCACAGAATGCTATGCGGAACAGCTCTTTCCGTGCTGTGATAGTGCGTGTGCTCTGCTTTTGTATTGCGGTCGTTTGTTCCGTCTTTGTTGGCTCCGTTGACATACTCTCGTCACCAAACATATTATCCTTATATATGCCCAAGTTTCGCCACTTAACTCGAAGCCTCTGTTTGGCTAAGTTGCCATGATCACGTATTGTATGAGCAATGGTAGAGACTGCGTCAGGACTTCTCATATTAACACGGACTGCTGGCGTGCTGCTTCCAGCTTTTTGTCCCTCTCGTGTGTGAATTACAAGCTAATCCCCCTGTTAATAAAAAAGAAAATGCTAATTGAGTTTGTAGTCCGTCTATTCTAGTGCTGGTCTTAGAGTGATAATGTCGGATTTCGTTTCCCGTGGTGTGGTCGTCTTGTGCTCAATAAGGTATACCGTAGACAACTTATTATCTCGAAGGATTAAGTCGCAACTTAGAGGTTGTATGAGGTTGAACAACAGCTCCATTTGAAATTCAGGCTGAGCGCGTATTAGCTAAGCAAGTTCTTAGATGATGCCTGCGGAAAACTTCTGACGATCCCCCAATATCATCATTAGCTTTTTAGGGCTGCACTCAGGCAATGGTGGTGTCCAACCACGCATTCTGACGCCATTAGACGGGTTGGTGTATGTTGTTTGGCCCTTAAACGCATCTTTTAATCTCAGCAGTGCTTCAAAGAGATCGCACTGGTGTACTGCAAAGGGCGCTAAAAGAGTACTAACATGCAGAGGCTCACGCGGTCGCATTCTGTGTGCTTTGATTGACTTATCTTTGACAAGAGTATGGGAGTCCTGGTATTCTAACTTTATGTTCGCATGGAGGGCTGTGTAGCTATTCATAGGTAATATACATAGTATTTTACTATTTCCAGCGGGCGCGATGATAAATATAGGAGCAATTTGCCGAGCTGATCGAGTGCTGATACTGAGCTTGATGTTGATTGGTATGATCTGCAGATTGTCCTCTCGGCGATGTTTATCGACCTAGGACTATACAGTAGAAGGGTCCATGTTCATAGGAAATCCCTCTGGGGGATCAAAAATGAGGCCTCCGTCGAGACTACTGAAATCCGGTCCTAGAAGGCCTTATTTAAGCAACTAGGCAGCTGTTTTATTCGATATTCAGAGACATACCACGTATCACACCAATCTGATGCCCATGATCTTTGTATCCTTGTATGCAGGTGTCAGATAGTATGCGAAATGTATTGCGCTTAGTTATCCATCTACTTATGGATGGTAGTCGATCGACTACAGCCTTTTGGTTTAGTTCTGCAGACTTTGACTTGACTATAGTAGTTTATAACTTGTGTTATTGAAGATAAGACGGAGAAATGCGATATAGGAAGCTTCGTGGGCTTGAACTTCGAGGCTTGTTGGAGCGCAAAAGGACTGAAGAGTGCTAGAATTTCTTTGAGAAAACCTGTACTAGCAGTGGCGGAATATATGAAAGCTCTAGATGGAGAAAACTTGGCTCATGCTATTAGAAACTATGCTCTAACCAAGCGCATTAATAACCCACTTTATGGTTTGGGTATACCTCTAATTTAGTCTCTCTTGCAGATTTAGTTATAAATTAAAGCTGAGTTAAGCGTGTACTGCATATTAGGCGTTATGTACAACGCGAGTGTAGAAGCTGATAGGGTAAGAGAGTTCTAAAATAGTTCCGTTACATTGTATTAGCAGCATGTAACCGGAATTTTATTGGGTTTCCTTGCCTTGTTATCCGTATATAGGTCGTTTGACCTCTGGACGGCGAGGTTGGAATAGTGCGCAAATAGACTGGCGAGTTTCTACAATCGACTGAATAATCTAGATATAATTTATGCCTAAAACACTTCCTTGATAAGGAGAAGGCGGGGTCTAAGTTTAAAGGCACGACGGTATGGTTAGCTAGATTGATAGTTAGATTCGTAGCTATTTCGGCGGCGTGACTGTAGTAGAGGCATCGCTAAGACATTTTGGTTCTGCAGTATAATCTATGCATGGACTAGGATACTCTCGCTTGTCTTTAATAACTTAGCTGTTACTTGGTTTAGTGGTTGTCTAACTAGCCCTGAAGCAAGTTGCGGTGAGATTGTGCGACAGTGTCTTGGACTATGACTGTGCAGAAAAGCGCGTGGGGGAGGGCATAAAAAGTCGGAATGACTAAGAAATTCTGCATCAATAGCTGTAGAAGATTGGGTATAGTGCGTTGAGTGGGCGATGGTCGTGTATGCGTCGCGTTTGTGTATGAATGGGGGCGATTTTTATAGCAGTGGCTGCGACTTCGGCCTTTTTACGTATTACGTAGTACTATTGGCCCTATTACTATTATATCTAGCTGATGCTGGCATCTATATGCATTGAGCAAAGTACTGATTACCCTACTATTATTTCTATATGCCATTATGATGACTCTACTACACAAAATTTGGAGAAAGCAAAAGGAGGATAGCTTAAATATCTAGACATGTCTGCTAGCTGCTGCTACTGATCTTTTCAACGTTGCAGTGTCGCGCAGCGCGAATTAAAATACAACGATCTTAGCTAATAGAATTATACTAGTTTACCTGTCGTAGCGTCTTGTGGGTGTTTGTGAATATATTCGCAGTAGATAGGTTGTAGGAAGAGGCGAAAGTCTAGCTCGACCTCGGAAATTGAACGTTGAGCAGTAGTACAAGCGCCGCCGCTATACTCCCCTTACGCCGGTTGAACTTGGTGTAGAGTTGCCTTCATGTCTAATCACTTTTGAGACTCACCCACTACCTATAAGCTGGTTCTCACGCATTGTGTAAAGTTTTAGACCCGTTTGGTGGAATAAGCTGGATGCATTATAACCGCGACGTAACTTGGTATAGTTTGCAGAATGAGATGACGATTGTGTTACCTCGTTCATTGCAGTTGCACACGTGCAACGTTGACTTATCGTGCTCTGTTTCGCTCTGGTCTCTGAACCTCACTATGATACCTCACTCTGCATCTACTAATGACTGCTAAACTCGCGAAAAACTGGATGCGATTTTTAACCTCGCACGAAAAGCTTCTATTTTATGAACTACCACTGTTGTGGGCGATTTGCAGCTGAACTATTTGCAGCTATTTTAGAGTGTCTATTGGTTATTCTATCCTTCGAGTTCTCGCCAGCCGATGATGCAATCTTCGAACCCACTGACATAGTATGACCAAACAAAGGCTCTTGTTGTTCTGCGTGACTAAAAATATAATAGAATAGTCTTGAAACAAACAGAGGTTGCTAGTGGAGAACAGAAGCACGCTTGAAACGCACATGAACTGGATACACGTGAATATGTAAGCCGTTTATAGTATTTATATTATGTACTTTTAATTAGATCCTTAATACTACTTGCTTTAACCTCTCTATAGTAGTTCGCAAATTCGATGATTACGCAAATACTGCGATGGATGAGCGAAGTAAGAATAGTTTTAACGATTTAAAAGCGACATAGCGAAAGGCTAGTTCGGGGTGGTGAAAATATGAACGACGGCAAAATTTACAATGACAATCAAAGATGAAAACTAAAAAAAATGGATATGAACGTAGTAGATAGACCTAAAAGCCTATAAGCTTTTTATAGTAGGTGCATTGTTTTCTACATTAAAATATGCTCTAAGTCTCTTTAAACCTTGACCCCTTCACCTTATATTGGACAGCTCCCACTCCACCTAGACATGCCTATCTTTGACATCCTAATAGCAATCCTAACGACATTGCTTTTGAGTGGTTCTCTGGGGGAAAACCAGGCAGCTGATTATGTTGTTCGATGCTGTAATATGTAACAGTATGGCAATCGCTTTTATGACGCTGCGCAGCAGATTCGTCCCTCTCCACACCTCTAGAACGCCCTGGTAGGATGAAAAGTGCTGTGAGTTCTCCGTTGGCGCCAGAAATTCGTTTCCATGCTCTACATTTGGCTTCCACCCAGTGAGGCGAACACCAGTCCATGGGTTTATGTAATCTGTTTCATCTCGGGCGCAACGTTGGATGTTTTCAAGAGCTTGAGGCAAACAAGAAAGCGGCATTCGATAGCAGCTATTACAGTGGCTCAAAAACCTGTAGGCAGATGGTGGCAGCATGGATTTTCGAGATGCATTAACAGCCACTTTGCGATTGGGCTGCGTAGCTAAGCTGCTGTTCGAAAATCGATTGGGGATAATCTCGACAAAATTTGGATTGGCTGCGCACGTTACGATATATACTCCTATTCGAGCTTGCTACTTAGTCGACGTGATGTAAATTTGGTCCTCAGCGAAATCTGATATAGAACTCTTTACGTCAAACAATACGAGGATCCGAGCCCAGTGTTCCTGAGAACCGCGCGCAGCTCGAACTTCCTCATTTAATCTCCAGAATCGTTCCGTATAACTGCCCCGTGGTGGTTGTGCGCCTCTAGTCGCAAGCAATGCCCCATCAGCTAAAGCAAACTCGAAGGAGCGGACGACAGGACAATCAAACAACGTAGCGAATAGTTCTGCTTCAAAAAAGGTACCGCGTCTGTTCTTGATGAAAGCGTTGATGGCTTCGAGGGGACGGCAATGATCGGTCGACATGGCGAGTATGGACAGTGCCTTTTGGGTGTGAGATATTGACACAACGTAAGGTATCGATGGTGGGGTAAAGGTACACTAGGCTAAAATATGTACTACATACGTACGTAGTACTACATATGTAGGCTCTTATATGGTAGTAGTCGGGAGCTCGGGCCGTTCTAAACTCTAATACTATCGACTCGGCCTGTCCCATCGCAGGCGAAAAGAAATAACTGCTAAGATAAATTCCTGGTCCACATAGGCAATGGTTTTCTTTGTTATGCGTCCTAAAAGTCGCGTTCCGCTGCAAAGAGGGCAGTTGCCTAAAAATGGCTTTTAATAAAGCTTGGAGCAATATGTCTTCTTAATATCGCACATACTAGTATATAGTATGTTCACTACTTTTAAGTTGTTGATTCATTGCATGCTCTCTTAATGCCTCAATGTTGCACTATATAATTTAGTAGTTGAATGATTGCAAGATTCCTATGCTTTTCAATGTAGTAAGTGCGCGGACAAACTCCGAACGACACCCTAGCACATTGCGTATATCTATGTGATTTAGCATGAAGGCTCAATAGTGTAAAAATCTCATGGCAATAACAGCTACATATAATGAGTCATCTCCACAGCAGAACTAAGTCTCCTTGGGGGGACTAGAGCGTGTTATA